TGTTTTTCCTACAAAGGTCAAAGAAAAAAATCTACACGTCCACTTCTCTGATTTGCAGGTTTTAAACTTAACATGTTCAAAATGTTACATTATTTTAAACGAAACACATAAATAACGCAGCTGGCATAACAAATATAAACAGCGTTATCAGTATTTATTAAAAAGTCTTCGATATCGGGGCTAAAGTTTTAATTATGAAATTGAAATACAAACGTATATATATTTATATATTTTTATCTTCAGTCTACATATTTTTATAGAAATTAAATCTATATAATTTTGTTTTGTTAACGAATCAATGCCTTTAGCTTTTACGTCAACACTGAGGAAAGATGAAGCATGCCTGAGCAGAGGGTTTGCGTATTGAATGTGATGACTTTGGAGAAAGAAATTAACAAATTTATACAGATCTCTGAACACATCACTAGCCTGCTTGGCCAAGGATGCATTAGTGTTATAAAATCGGATGAAGACAAATCTAAACCTTCGTCTCGACTCTATAAGAAATAGAAGTCAGTCTTGAAGTGTCATGTATTAGTTCTCAAGTGTCAATGAACATAACTTGAAAATAATATCACATGCATATTATTTATAGAAATAAGTTGTTTTAATTACGTATACTGTTTTATAATTTTTTATTTTTATTGGTCTTAAAATGTTTTATGTTACATTTTAGAAATAATAAATAATAAGAAAATGGTAGCATAAGAATCTACTACTCATATTTAAAGAAAAATAAAATAATAGGATTGAAATAAACTCAGGATTCCACTTCGATTGATCCTAAAGAAATCCATTTTATGGTTGATGTTTTGGCTTGTCCTTCGGGACAAAATAATCAGTTCACGAAATATAAAATTGTTGGGCATGGATAATGAAGCAATTCTCTTATGATAATTTGAAAATTACCGTAGGATCTTGGACAAGTAATACGATCAATAGTTAATTTTGGACAAAGAATATAGTACCAATTTCTTTAGGATAAAAAATACCTACTACAGATTCTTTAGGAAAAAAAATACTTTACCATTTCTAATTTACACAAAACTGGGCGGATCTAAATAGAATATTTTTGAAGATTTTCTCAGACAATTAATTAGTTTTGGAGGATTTTTGTCCAATATTATTGCTTCAACTTTACTGGTCAAAAATTTTGTCCCGGAGGACAAGACAAAAAGTTTAAAAAAGGATTTCATTTGGATCAATGTTGTTTAGAGTGAAAAATTTCGTGTCTTTCAAAAGAATTATTTGATTTCGGTACGTTTTATAAACAAGTATGTAATTTTATATTTACTTTTGCATAATACTCATATTAAATAACTGAATTGAGATAAAGAAATTTTACGTAATTGTACAATAAGTTATAAATTGCTTACCATTACTCTAAGGATATTAGTTATAGGGATTTGTGTCCCAAAACAGTTTTGGAGGAGTAAATCTTTATATTTCTGAATATTTATGCAGGTTGAAATCATCAGATCTGTTTCGAAATTCCCATATATATATATATATATATATATATATATATATATATATATATATATATATATATATATATATATATATATATATATATATATATATATATATATATATATATATATATATATATATATATATATATATATATATATATATATATATATATATATATATAAATAAATATATATATAAATAAATATATATATATATATATATATATATATATATAAATAAATATATATATAATAAATAAATATAATATAATAAATAAATATATATATAAATATATATATATAAATAAATATTAAATATTATATATATATATATATATATATATATATATATATATATATATATATATATATATATATATATATATATATATATATATATATATATATATATATATATATATATATATATATATATATATATATATATATATATAAAACTAGAGCGAGTGAGATATTAGCTTTATTAAATATATTGTGTTATACAAGAGAACAAAAATATTTAGTTTACCTATTGTTTGTCTAGTTCTTTTTCCAAGACCATCTCGTTAGAGAACGTGACTTACCTGGTCAGGTTAACTCTCGTACATCAGTCTTAATGTTTTTAGTTTATTGCTTTACCACTTATCTGCTTATTAGACGTTTGGGCGATTGTTTGTTCTTTGTTACTTTGCAATGAACCTTACGTAATGTATGAGAATACCGCTACCACCAGAAGGAGTTGTTCGATTTCGTTCATTTTTCCCACAAATGTTCTTATGATGGCATTATAGTAATATTCTAAAAGAGGCGACATTTACTAGACACTAACAGAACCTGACCTAATCAACCAAAGGCTAACCTTATCTGACTTCCTAGCCTGTGTTACGAACCTCGCCACCAAATGTCATGATCTACCTACCCAGCACTACGAACCACGCCATCTATTGTCCTGATCTACCTACCCAGCACCACGAGCAACGCCATCTAGGGACGAAACCCGAGTATGACTACTCTTAGTTACCACTCCGGGGTTTCCCTACTCCATATCCTGGTTGTTGCGTCACCTCCTCAAAGTCTTCTTCGTCAGCTCCAGTTCGAGGAGAGTTCAGTTCACTCTGGGAAGTGACCACAGGATCACCTATCCTGGAAACCTACGGCACAGTGACTACCTACCGTCTTCTACAATACTCAGCCTTACTCGTCGGCCATCTCAGCTCCGCACTTAAGTATTTGTAATCTTATATTGCCTCCCCGCGTCCACTTGCTTCAAAATTGTTGTATGTTGTATAAATATGTATATACTGTTAATGTTTAGGTTAAGTATGGTTAAGGGTAAATTATAAAAAGCTGAATATTTTGTTAAGGAATTTTTGGTACTTTATTATACACAACAAAAACTCGCATCCTTTGTCTACCCTTTTATAGTCCGATTGTCTTTGTTTTTTATTGTTGTTGCCTGTTGGGATCTGGGTAGACTTTTAACTGTATTCTTAATCCCCAACTCGTAACACCTGGGACTACGGTCCCAGGAACCCCCGCGATATTGTTAAGGTCACAATTGCATGGCTAGTGATTTCAACATGTGTGAAACGAATGAGTTACCTGTAGTTGAGTAAAATCTTGTTTTAGGATACAGAAATTGGGGAGAAAAATACTCTTAGTATTTTCCAAGTTTGTGCAAAAGCTCCCCAAGTTTTCTTGTGAGTCATTGGTACGAGATTACAGAATGTTTACACAAGTACTGTACTTAGATGAATTGTTTTATTATTGCCAGGCTAATTTTCTTGGGTGTACTCCTGTGCTGATGCCAATATGATAATTGTTGTGACCACATGTGTTAATGCATTGATACTCTGAGACATTGTGTGAAGTGAGAATGTGCCGAGCACTAGTGTTGTGAAGCCTTAGAGTAAACTTTCTCAGGACAGTCTCGTTAAGTATTATCACTTATTGTAGTGATTAATCATTTGAGCATTATCTTAAGTGATTTTTGTGTATTAGAATTGTAAGCATTCTTTCTGAAGATTAGTTGCGTTGTTGCGGCCTGAAGGCATGATGGCCGTCGCAAGCGGACAGTTGAGGGCGGACTGTTCAGAACCAGCGTCCGATGAGTTGATGTTTAGAGTTAAGAAGTATGTCGGCGGAGGCGTACTCATTCAAAGGAATGTCACCCAGGTTTCAACACCAGTTTCATCAGGGAAGGGACCTGATGAACAGGAAGGTGATGTTAAAGTAGCAGAAGAGTAGGGAATGTCTCTCACTAGTTAAGTGAGAGGCAGGGACATCAGTGTTACATAGAGATCTTTAAAAAGTTGTAGACCTTTTAAAGTGTAATGTATTGGGTGTTGATGTGAAATGGTGAAGTGTTATGTCTTGTGTATTTGTGTTTGGAAATTTAGAGATATGTATTGGTGGAAAGTGAGTGTACTGTTGCACCTGTGAGTTGAGTGATGGGCGGGGAGTGTGTTGTGCGCCCTGGTGAGTTGTGAATTCTGCGAGGTTAATGTGAGTTGTGGAGAGCATTTTGTGGAGGGAATGTCAAATTGCGGGAAGGACATAGATATTGGAAGGTGATGGCACAAGGTTACGAACATCTGGTGGGGTTCTGTTACTGGAGCAAGTAAAGATACCATGTGTGATTTCTCAAGTTTTTGTGTGTCAAGTGTTGCAGAGAGATCATTAGTGCCCCATAAAGCGATTGTTAACATTCAGCGGCTCCGTCATACGGCCGCCATTAATCCCCCGTAAAGCGATTACCGCCATTCAACGGCTACGTCGTGTAATGGCCCATGTTTCATAAACACAAGAATTATATAAATGGGTTAATTACATTTGATTTATATACTGAGTCATCCCCTGTAACTTTCCACTATCTATGAGGTGACATGTTTAGTGCACGTGATAGGGTGTGCCCAAGGGAAACCGTGTCATATTATGCTGAGTAAAGGCATTTGTAGCCGGCTTTCTGGCCACTCACAGCGGGCAGTAGTTTGATATCCTTGACTAGAGGAAGACGTTATTTGAGAGCCGCAGTGGATGGCTCTGTCTTCCCTCGAGGGAGGACGATGTACCTATTCCGTTCTCCCTCGATGGGTCATTACTCAGAGTCATACTCACAATCTTACATCGAACGGACGTGATTAAACGGTCTATTTACATAGCGGCCATCCTCTCTCTTCACACTCATAAATAGTGGAAATTACGGTTGATCTACACTCAGGAAATATATAAACGATACTTTTTAATAAAAGCAGAAACTTCAATTGGGTTTCGTTACTAAAACCCAAAATAATATAAATGTACCAATCTGGTTAACTTTGAATTAACCAGCCGGTTTAGTCGTATGGCCGCCATTCACCGTCTGCGTTGTACAATAAATGAAAACAATCGCCTTATGTGGGATTAACACCGACACCATTGCTATCTTTCTAACTACTTCCTTAGGATTTAGTAAAATTTTCTTATTCGAATACGTTCTATTTTTTTTCATACTTCATGATTGCGTAAAAGGCAGTTCCAAAACTATCTCAACTTACATTTGGTGAACAACTCACCAAGTCTGTGTATCTCTGACGTCAGCCTTGAAGACTTAAGATCTTTTTTTATCATTGTTGATGGCAACTCATCTCATTCCTCACTTCCAGTGGAGTACTCTGTGTATTGAACTACATAATTTTTACACATTTCATTTTTTTTTGCATAATTTTATCCTTATAGCTACTAAACAAAACAAGGATTTCAATATAAATTCCAAAGTCTGTACTTAATCACAGAAACTAAAAAGTATCTCTCTAGAATTATTTTATATGTTTATAGATAAAATGTAATCTAAATATTGTTCAGTTGGGAACATTTACATGATTATGACAGAATAACAGATAATAATTCATTTTGTTTATTCTTGCGCTATGAATGTTTTTGAAAATATTATTAAAATGTAAATAGTTTAGTTATGCAGAAGGAACCATGGTTAAATTATGTCATGTTATGTTATGTTATGATAGATTATTTTTATACTGAACCGAAGACGAAATGTTATAGAACCCGCTTCAATGTGGTTTCTGTAGTTAGTACTCCGTTTATGTCTGAGAATTGTATTACAGCGGGACCAGATCTGGGGGTAAGATTTTCTTTCGTAAAAAATTGTTTAGTGTTTTTTCAAGGATCAAGGTCAGCTTATATCATATTAGCCTGTACATAACTTATGATAATTCACAAGGAAAGAGGAGTTATGTGACTGTCATGCAGATTACTTTCACATGCAAAATAATAAAATATTCTTTAGGAGAGGGCCGGAGTGGACTCTCGTTTTGTAAGTCGGTCAATAAACTATCCTATTGTCTCGGTAGGGTGGTCAAAATCATTCGTCCGTTGTATCATATCGTCAAACACAATTTTGTAAATATAGTTTTTTGAGCTACTGTACAACTGACCCAAGAACTGAACCTTGTGGGACGCCATTCAAAATAGGTGAGGGTTCTGATTCATTATAGTGAATATGATGCAGTATTTCAGGCAGATACGAAACAAACCATTTGTGTGCTTGGCCCCTAACGCTGTAATGTTTTGGTTGTGACAATAAGATGGTGTGGCCGACGGTATCAAAGGCTTTTGATATGTCCAGGAATTCTCCGACTGTGAAATAGCTGTCATCAAAGGAGTTCAATATTTCATTGGTAAAGGACGATATGGCGCTCTCAGTTGACCATCTTGCAATACCAAACTCAAAATTAAGAATGTTATTGTCATTGGAAATGGAGTTGAGTTTACGGTATGCTAGCTTCTCTGGTGTCTTATCAAAACTGGAAGGACTGATATGGTGTGGTAGTTCTTGAAATGACTTTTATCGTCATATTTTTTTATAGTCAAGGTGAACTTTAGCCATTTTTAGTTTATCTGGAAAGACACTACTAGTGAAGGAGGAGCTGCAAATGTGTAAGAGAACTGGTTGTAATGGTGACAAAACTACGTAATAAATTTTAATAATAAGTTATTTTAACAATTCTTACTAGCAAAAGTAGTAAACTTTGGGCTAGATATTATCCAAGCACAGTTAAACAAACGTTCTCATGATACTGAAGCTGTCACTGGAGAGGACAGGTACGGAGGGACATAAAAGTATTATGATGCATTTTCTCGCGGTTTAGAAACAAAATATTGTGAATATATATTTTATTCAAGATTACGAACATCGACACTAAAATCATGAAACGTCACTCAAACAAAAAGTTCGTATTTCTTAAGTAATGAAGGAAAAATTTATTTTCAAGTACTAGAGGTCTTTAAAAGCGAGTAGGAACCAAAGAGTTTTATCTCATAATTTTTGATTGTTGAATAATAGTATAATTACTAATCTTTTTATGCACTTGAACACTTAAGTTGTTGAAGCGCAGTAATAACATTATAACAACAACAACTAGCAGGAGAAAATAATTCTTTGCAATACTGATCCACTGCGACTCGGGGGCAATGATTCTCCCTGTAAATGAACACGAGAGCTTAATCTTGACTACAATTTTAATTGATTCAAGGCTGGTACTCTCAATACTCCACCAACACTTGCACTTACTCTGCACTTTAAATATTATTTTTGTCAAGGTATTAAAAGTCGATTTTGTTTTCTTTTTGAATAGCAAGCCTCCGAAAGGTGATTTCAGGTTAGTATTCAGTAAACCCAGACGTATTGCGATTCTAAGAATTGGCATTTTCAAGATATGTAAACCTTAGATTGCTTTAGTTACTATACCTCTGAGTGAGTTGACTGATATATGAACAATCACCCCGTATAAGTTACTGGGATTGAAGCGTACAAAAATATTGAAAATTAAGACTTTTTTGCAGTTTAACCTTTCCCAATATTTTTTTTTTACCAAGGACATAACTAAAACTTTTAAATCTTTACCTATCACAACACAAACATTGCGATTAAGGATTACACAAATTAATATGCTATTCATTAAGAATGTTTAGAAATTCCAGAGAACAGCATTCATTACGTACTTATTCCATTTTGACCTTCCAGTGACCAACACCATAATAGGAAAGGTTACACACGGTTCTTAGGATTTTGTGTAAGGTCAGATATATGGCTATAATGCACAGGAGGAGGAAGGTCAGGACGTCTAGCATGAAAAACTCTACCCAGGAAATTTGGGCTGCTGGAGACTTTAGATGGGGCGCCCCTTGGTGGCGAATGACGTACTCGGTCCAGTACACTGCTCGTTCCAGAGGAGACTGTAACTGATCCCGCATGAGTTTTGACACTTGCTTCACATTTCTCTGGTATCTGGGAGTGAGAGACAAACAACGAATTAGCATTAGCCTAAAAGTACACTGGAGAAGAGCCATTCGCAAATTGCAGTTGACATCTTAATATTTATATTTACTTCAAAATTTCTCAATTACACTGTTAGGAGTTTCGCATTAGTATAATCTTAGTTTAGCTGTGTTGAAGTACAGGATCATATATATATATATATATATGTATATATATATGTATATGTATATATATATATGTATATATATATATATATATGTATATATATATATATATATATATATATATATATATATATATATATATATATATATATATATATATATATATATATGTATATATATATATATATATATATATATATATATATATATATATATATATATATATATATATATATATATATATATATATATATATATATATATATATATATATATATATATATATATATATATATATCTTGTATCGTTGGAACATTTCTGTATTTATGAACTGACAACTCAATTAGAGTTTGCCTGAAAAATATACGCTAACTTTATGTGCACCACTTAGGCGCTTGTATTTTTTCTTGTGGGCCTTTTCCCCTGAACACAAAACTACAGTCTTTCTGTTTGTCAAGAGCTGAGCATTAATTAACACATACTTTGTTGGAGTAAACAGTTATTACACAACAATTGCAGAGGTGTCTGGTGTACATAATTAATGCTTGATAATTGTTTTTAAGGATTTTAGCGTTCTGTACCGAAACAGTTGACCAAGAACGCATGTAACACAGTGCGGTACACTAAACAGTGGATACTTTCAGATGGAAGGTAAGTACGGTATGAGCCAGATATTTACATCACGTGATGGCAACACTACTGTTATGTCAGAAAACTACTGACGAAATGAAACGTCCCAAAAATCAACCAATGACTACCCGCATCCATTTCTCATGCTGCCTCCTCGACCAATTATCATTGCTTTTGAGAAATCACGGTACAATAATAATCCCTTAGAATGTTTGAATATGTAGGTGAAGCCACGCTGGTGGCCAGTATTCGCTTGTACTTTCTGTGAGGGGGTAGTGCTTTATTATCTGTAGTCATGGCGTCATTAGACACGTCTGGTAGTGAAGATCAGTTTGAAAATTAGCCAGAAAGTATTGATAATCTTTCAGATGACTCCATAGAGGAATATGACAGGGATTATGATCCTGAAAATGAGACATATATTTGTTGAAGACAGTACTAGAGGCAGCACCTCTGCCAACAGTGGTTCAGTGTTCACCACCTCCCTCCTCGGCCCATCCACTTCACCCGTTGTTTCTCGCTCATATTGGATCCTTTTGCAGACATATATAAGATCAGATATTTTCTGCAAGAACTATAGTACTGTACTGTATATAGATGAAAGCATACAGCAAAGGACATTATATTTTTATCATTGGTACTACATTTTATTGGGTTTATGAAATCGTAGATGTATAAATAATTATCATAGAATAAACAATTTAGGTGCAGGTATAATTATAACCCTCCTTTCACTGTACTGTCTGGAGGGCTGGGAAGGGGGGGGGGGCAGTAAGAGGGGGATAAGTTTATTTACCTTGGGTGGAGTGCTGTGAAAAAAAATCTTTATCATTTGTGCACTTTAAAATTCAACCTGTCATCAGCATAATAATGCTGGTTTAATTGATGTACTGTATTGGATTTCGGTGTAAATGTGACATTTGCTCGTTGTAACTAGCTGCACTACACTTACGCCACAGACGTGTATAAGACTGACAAATTCTCATGAGAGCGATGATAAAATGCAGTTCTAGGCAGATGGCCTGGCTCCACTACACACCGACTCTACAGTAGACAGACTAGTTAGATTGTATTCAGGTTTTTCTTCTTACTTATGAGGAGGCGGAACGAGTGTCAGTGAAAACAATTCTCCATAGCCACAAAGAAACCTTAAATTTAACGTTGACTTAGAGGTGTTTTGATTAGCTAAAATTCGATTTATCGTGATTTTTTTTCACCAGAACTTCAAATTGGTGAGTCAGTGCACTGAATTATGTCAGCCAAAGTAGTCGCGTAATTTTGGTAGGATGGATTTTTACCCTCTGTGTGTGCATTTTATTTTCTCATTTTACTGGGTTCCTTCAGACTGTTTATAAACTGCACTATCTTACCCTTTCCATTTGCCAAACACGTAGGTACCACATGAATCAGTATTATGCACAAGCATCATATAGATGGCTTTAATCATTAACCATACTCTGACTTAGTTTAGGGACCCCTGACGTGCGTGCCAGACTGCTCAGTCCACCCCTGACGCCGATATGATCCATGCCCGACCCAAGTTACCCGCTTGGACGACAGTACACTTCAATGTTTGGAGAAACACCGAACGAGAGGGCGTTAAAACCGTCAAGGTTCCTCGACTACATGCCGAGTTGGCTCACCAACATCGGAAAGGCACTCCCGTCGCCCTTTCCGAGCTAGATGTATCATTCCATAAATACAACCTCTCCCGAGGACCTGCACATCCTGTATTAACCTCTCGACCCGCCTTATAGCTTAACAGCGAATGTGACCTCAACAAATTCCTATTATTCAGTCATTGCTGTATCAACAAAGAGAATGAAACTTTTAGTATTATTATATAATATATAATCATGAATATCAGTAACGAGATTACCATTAAAGTTACTTACCTAGGGTTATTTATGACCTCGTTTATGGTGTTAATGATGAGATCGACTGTGAGATCGTCCCAGGCCAAAGCCACACCGATCCCATTTTTCATTATCCCCATTGCGTTCTTTTGCTGGTCACCGAAAACAGGGATTGCGACGACAGGAGTGGCGTGATGGATGGCCTCCTGGGTGCTCAGCATGCCCCCTTGAGTGATAAACAGCTTCACCCGATGATCAGCTGATGACCAAACATGTGGTACAGAATTTTTTTAAAGTTTACTTATCTGAAAGTGGTTGTGATGTAATTGAAGTCTGTTTCTTATTACTCTTTTTATCATAACATTTTTGCAATTTTTATTCGTTACATGAAAATCTTGATAAAACAGAGGCCATCATATCATTTATCTGATTGATCAGCAATGGTTAAAACAAATAACTAATCGGATATTAAAAAAAATAATAATTAACAGAAACAAATCTCGCTTTAGGTATATGTGAAGACTAGAAAAAAAATACTAACCAAGAATATCTTGTTGTGGAAAAAATGGCCCCATTAAGACGTTAGTAGATACATTTTTAAGTACAATGTCAAACTTCCAAATGAATCTGTAGTCCAGTCTTGCAAATGCTTCGATAAATAGATCCAAATACTTGACGGGCATTGTGTTTCCTGAGACTGCTGTCCCCAGGCTGAAGAAAATAACACCTGATGGACCAGCACCTTCAACCCATGATGCTAACTCCTGTAAATAAGTGGGTGTAGAATCTTATCATTCATCTACAAGAAGAATAAATTAAATGTAGCTCAAATACTTTTCTTTAATTTCATGTTGCATCTCGGCTTCTTCTTGAGATAACTAGTGACATTCATTTTAAATATAGTTTTATACTTAAATTAATAATTAGAAAGCTACCTGTTTTAAATAGAGTAACTTCGAGGTATTTTATGTAGCGTGTTTAGATACAATCAGACGCCTGGAGACAGTGTCTCTTACCCTCTACTTGAGGTACTGGGTGTGCCGTGACATATTGGTTCTTTTCCTCAGTTCTACTTGGGACTTTCCTAGGTTAGCGGTACACTGGGAACACGGTGCATGCCACTCGCCTCTACCTGGGACTCACCTGTGTTAGTGGCTTGCCGGGGACACAGTGCATGCCGCCCACCTCCACTTGGGTAGGCAAGAGGGGCATAGCTTTCGTGAAGCTAAAGTGGGAGTTTATCAGAGTGAGACTCGTGTTTTTCTCAATTTCCAGCAGTGGAGGTGCGTCGGGCAAATGGGCAGACACCTGATAAGGGTGAAAAGATGACAAGTGAATAATTATGTATAGCTGTAATCAACTGATGTATTCAGTACATATGCCCCAAATTAAGTATTTTCCGTCTTAAACAATATCCGTGTACTGTACATTTGCAAGTTATTGCTGCATAAGGATACCCGAGTAATAAAAATAAATTTTTACAACTATTTGCAGAAGAGAAAATAGGAAATATTATCCGAATGTTTTTCATCATCTACTAATTCAGGCATGTTAATGACTATAAAAAAAATAAGATTCCCCAATTTCAATACAACTCCGATGTGGAACCACATAATAAGTGTGGTCACTTACATGCCACAAAATACATTATCTTATCAATTAGAAAAGGACTTGATTATACCCTTAAATAGATACATGGAAATACATGAAAATGGTGCTTACCGCTTTCTGTATCAACGGTACAATGCCCCACACCCGCCAGTAGCCGGGAACGTACAGGTGATAGAAGAGGTTTTTTAGACGATCTATGAAGCTGAGAGGGAAAGGGTAGTCTTTGTGTACGCTGGATGCGTAGGCGGGATGGAGGACGTTACCCAGCATGGCACTCTGTCGAGGCTCTAGCCCGGGAGTGGCCAGCGTGATGAATGGAAGTCCGACAGCAAATGGGTACACTATCTGTTGATATTAATCCAAGGTTTACTGTCTACTTACACACACACACACACACAAAAAAACTTTTTTTTTACTTTACTTTTTTCTCCTTCTCCACTGCTCGGCTTGCTAGCCGCTTGGACGATTGGTTACGTCTCTATTACGCACTGTTGGCAAGTACTGGGCATGCACCGGCTTCTGAATGTATCTGAACCTGCTCCAGTGTTGGTCAAGTCTGGTCTTCAAAGAGCTCACACTCGGTGCCGTAACCACACTCTCTGGCAGATTGTTCTAAGAGTTCACAACCCTCATTCCGAAAAGTTACTCTTCACAGTTATCCGGATTTGCGGCTTCTTTAACCTTGAGCTGTGACCCCTTGTGGGGGAGCGTCCGCCAGCTCCAGGTAAGGACACTCGACTGAGCAGTGCCCTCTGAGATGTTTGCACACCTCAATCAGATCTCCCCTTGCCCGTCTGTCGTACAAGCTAGGCAATTTCAGGCGCTCCAATCTTTCCGGGTAGCTGAGGTGCCGCAGAGGAGGCACGTATCTGGTGGCCCTCCTTTGGACATTTTCAATCAGCTGACAGTCCCTAGCATATCTCGGGGACCAGACGGGATGACAGAACTCCAGGTGAGGAAGTATTTCACTCTTGAAGATCGTTACGATGGACGGAACATCTAGATATTTGAACGACCTTCATATAAGACCTAATAACTTAGTTGCCTGTTTTACCTTCTTCTCGCAATAACCTGAGAACTTCAGTTCATTGTCAACGTACACACCAAGGTCCTTTTCGCGTTCTGTCTCAATTAATGTAGTCTCTTCGTCTCGTTGGGACATATGATACGCCTCCTTACTGTTGGTACGCCCCAGGTGCATCCTTTTACACTTCGTAACATTGAATCTGAGCAGCCATTTCTTCGACCATTCTTGAAGCTCACAGAGATCCTTCTGCAGCTCTTCATAGTCCGCTTGGAACTTAATTTCCTAAATAGCTTGGCGTCGTCCGCAAACATTTGTATGGAGGAATGTACAGCTTCAGGCATGTCATTTATGAAGCAAACAAACAACAGCGGGCCAATACAGTACACTGCCTTGTGGTACCCCACTTGTTACGGATACAGATGATGATTTCGTGCCATTAATCACCACACAGTGCTTGAGGTCATATAGAAAGTCCTTTACCCACGCTACGACATTTCCCCGGATCCCGTACCCTTCCAGTGTAGTTTTCAGCTTTTCATGGGGTACACTGTCAAAAGCTTTGGCAAATTTTGGTAGATATTATCGATATTACCACCATGATCTAGAAATTGGGTCCAAATATCCATTACTCCGAGTAGTTGTGTCAAGCGGGAGCGCCTCGACATAAAACCTTGTTGGCAATCATTTACGAGGTTGTTTCGTTGTAGATGTTCCATCATGGCATCTCTTATAAGGCTCTCAAGTACTTTACGTATTATGCTTGTTAGGCTCACTGGTCTATAGTTATTCGAGGAGTGACGAGCGCCCTTCTTAAAGATAGGACTCACATAAGCCATAATCCAATCACTAGGGACTTTCTGTTCACCCATGCATTTACTGAACAGGATCTTCAGGGGCTCAGCTAGCTCGTTGCACATCTCCCTCAGCACTCTTTGAACACCTTGTTCGGTCCGGGATTCTTATGAACCTTTAGCTTTGACAATTTATTTCTTATAATCTCTTCTGTGAACACAATGTGGGTTAGTGCTGTGTCTCACAGCCTATCCTCAAACACAGGAAGATTCTTCGCATCCGCTTTTGTGCACACCGAGGAAAAGATGCTGTCCAATGCCTCCACTTTGTTTTGGTCAGACTCTGCGTACCTACCATCATCAAGTCTCAGATCCGATACTCCTACTCGTGTTTTTAATTTCTACTTTGCATAGCGATAAAACGATTTGGGTTTGTCATGACCTCGCTTGCAACCAGCCTCTGGAACCCCTTTTCAGCCCTTCTACACTCCGCCTTTGCTGGTTCTTGGCTCTTGCAATACATCCTCCCGTCCAGCTCATCATTCGACCTGACCCACGTCTTGAATTTCTGGGTTTTCTTCTCAACTTTATCGATCGCCGCATGCTTCATGTGAAGCGGCCTCCTTTTATTTCTACAGGCACTGGGTTTGGTCTTGGGTATGTATTTCTCGATCAAATTATTTACTTTACTAGCTATGGTATTTAGTGTAGTGTCCGCGTTCTTATGCCTTAGTGAGTCAGGCATGGATTCTCCTCATCCTCTCCCCCATCCCGTGTTAATTACCCTTGTAATATTTGCACCTTGGCCTGGTTATGTCGTGCACCGAGTAACAATTAACCTGAAAGACAGCATTACATAGTGGCTGGTGCCAACTGGGGCTAGATGTTCCAGTTCGGCCACCGTACCCGCCTCGTTTGTTGTGATGAGGTCCAGTGGCTTGGGTGTTTGCTCCCCTTTGTAATGCGTCTTGTCCTTCACATGCTGGAATTGAAAATTCTCCAAAAAGAGTAGCTGGGTTATTTAGGTCATTTATTGTGTGCTCATTTCTCCAGTCGATCTCGCCATAGTTAAAGTCCCCCGTGATAAGAAGGTGGCTAGGGTTGAACCTCGCTGCGCTGTTAATTAGGGCTCTTAAGTTCCTTTGGTTTGGGAAGCTGCAGTTCGGGGATCTGTAGATACACCCGATAATAAGCACATCTCCTCCCATCTATTAAATTTTATACCACTTTGATTCTTCAAAAAAATCTTCACCCTGTACCCCTTACCTGGCTTTCTCTAAATTCTTGCCTTGCATAGATAACCACACACCACTTGTAAGTTGCTTGAGATAGGTTCGTAAATAAGTCATATCAGTCAATAGCGAACTCGCATTCCTCCGCGTCGATTCTCCTACTCTTGTACAACAGTTCTACAACTCCTACTATTTCGGTTTGGTGTACCTTCAGTAGTGTTTCAAACTCCTCTCTCTTATCAAGGAACGTGTCAGTATTAGTGTACATGCCGGAATTTGTCATCGGTAACGTCTCTGCTCTTGATAATAACTCCGGGCCCGGTCCATTCTCAACTGCTGCAATATTTGCTAAATACACTGTGTTATGCAGGGTGTGGTTAGAAATGTCATTGTTTACACGT